TTAGCATACCTGGCCAAACATATATTTGTTATCATACCTGGCCAAACATATATTTATTAGCATACCTGGCCTAACAAATATTTGTTAGCATACCTGGCCAAACATATATTTGTAAGCATACCTGGCCAAACATATATTTATTAACATACCTGGCCAAACATATATTTGTTAGCATACATGGCCAAACATATATTTGTTAGCATACCTGGCCAAACATATATTTCTGGCCAAACGGTTTGACCAAATTTGCTGAATCATTTAAGGGAACCCATGGATACCCTGGCTAAAGTTAACATAGGCTAAAAAAATTGAAATTTTGAATTATGTCCAAAAACGTTTAAAACGCTCAAATATGCAACGGAAACGTATTGCTGAAAATATTTTAAAGGTTAATTTACAAAACAATGTTTAAAATCAATGGGTTCATAACTAAATAAAAGAACTATTTCAGATGACATTAAGTTTAGATGTTTCTAATAAAAGCTTATTAAAAGGTTAAAATGCATTTTTATGATAAAAATGGTTACTCATAGTTAAACGTTATGAGTAACCTTTAAGAAAAAGGTTACTCATAGTTAAACGCCGCGCATGGACTAAAATTACGATTTTAGCTTTTTCCTCCTATTAAAGTCAACCCATGCTCAACTTAGAAACTCAACACTATAAGCTGAGAACATTCCCGTGGTTCTCCTGAGTACCCAAATCAAAATTTGAGGCATATCGGTCAGAGGGTTCATAAGTTATATAGATCGGACTCGAAATACAGAGCGACATACAGAGATAATAATATAATTTAGATGATCGAAAAAACGTTTTAAAAAAATTAGGCTTTCATGGCGCTTATTGCCCTTTTCTAGAAACAATTTTAGCGTTTAAAAGTTTTTTTTTTAAGCGGCCATTTTTGTTCGAATTGGAAAACTCAAACTTGGCGGGTTTTTAGGTTGGCATTGATAGATTTCTAAAATTTAAAAAATCAACTTATTTTCCAGGGAAAATTGTTAACTTTTAAACGTCCATAAACTATATGGGGTCATGTGAATTGCCATAAACAAATGGTTTGACAGTTATTACTTTAGTTATTATTAGTGATGTAAAAATGATATTATATCAAATGATGTTCTATCATTCAATGTTTGTAAAATATTCTTATAGAACAGGATGAATGATTGAATTGGATGAATGATTACTGAATGAATGTGTCATCTCCTATCCATATATGGAGGGTAGGTGACGGGTTGCAAAACTGGATAAAAAGTGAGGGAGGTTGCAATCTAGTAAACCTGTACGACGTAACGCTTCTAAATACAGGACGCATAAAACTGTGGAAAAGGAAGACGACTGTTGGACTCAATTAATTTTAATAATCTTAGAAACATTGTGCATTATTATCATTGTTATTATTATTTTTATCATTATATGAAGACCATACGCACGTACAGACACATTTCTCCTAATAAATTGATTCTCAAGTTAGGTTGAAGCAATTCGTTTTATAACAACAGCAAATGCACATTAATTGTTTAAATGTTTATTTCCTTTCCCCGGTTTAAAAGTTTTTGAATAATTAGAAATAAAAAACTTTCGTTTTTGGGTCTTTCTTTTACATACATCTTCTGTCAAAATTTGTAAAAATGGAAAATGTTTAAAATAAAAAATTTTGAAAACATTTTTTTTCATTCTGCCATATTTTGACCCTGAAAGAAAATATAGACAAAAAAGACCAAAAATCGAATCCAACTAAAGACATATCACTAGGTGTTCAATTCTATTTCTGACTGTTGTTCTCCCTGATTAGGACGGACTGTGGAAGGTTTTGGATCGAGAACTGGTGAAGGTTCGTGGAGGAGGAGAGGTTCAGGTTAATCCTGTCTCCGGGGGTATACTACAACAAAGGAGAGGGGACCTGAACCCCACTCCAGGTTCTGCAGGAACCAGGAGAACCCAAACACTCTCAGTCCTACCCAGAGAAAAGGTTTTCATTTTGAAAATATTATACAGGGTTACCCACAAAGGATGAGACTTTAATCAGAATATTGTCTTGAATTAATCCTTTGTCCATCAGCTGTTCACTTATTTCTACAAGGCGAAAAATAAAAGGGGCTATAGGCTTACGGCGAAAAATAAGCGCTTTTGATCGCTACTAATCTGACTTTTATCTGTTGCTTCTAAAAGGAAAAAATAGTTAAAAACGATTCATACTGAAGAACGTAGAGTCCATACAAATTTTATGATCTGTTAGTTACTTTTATAAACATTTAATCCTGCTTCGAGGATTTTTGATAATGAAAACGACATTTTCATATTTTCTAGGAATGTTCGAAAATCCAGCGCCAGTGAAATATTATTTTTTAAAAACAAAATCAAATTATTATGAAATATTAATTAGATCCAAATACATCGAAAAATAATCGATGACTATTGTTTGTGAAATTTGAATGATTATTTGGAATTAAATTGATTATTTTACGATCCGAGTTGAATTTTTTAACTTTCTGAATTCGTATGGACGCTACGATCTTCAACATGAGTCGTTTTTAACAATTTTATCTTTATAGACGCACCAGATGGAAGTACGATTTTTCGCCTTAAGCCTATACCCCCTTTCATTTTTCGCGAATATTCCCTTTAATAAACTAGATTTTAAGGAACAAATTCAAATATCATCAGATCATACAAAGATCCAGGCTTCAATGAAAAGTTGCATACATGTTCAAGTAAATCATTCAGATATTACAAACAATAGTCATCGATTATTTTTCGACGCATTCGTAAATAGTTGATATTTCATAATATTTTGAATTTTTCATGATCCTAGAGTTACTTCTGAAAACATTTATTCCTGTTTCGAGGATTTTTAATATTTTCATATTTTCCAGGAATGTTCGAAAATCCAAACGCCAACGAAAATTATTTTTTAAAAAAATCAAAAATCAAATGAAATATTAAGTATATACGAATGCGTCGAAAAATAATCGATGACTACTGTTTGTAATATCTGAATGATTAACAATGATAATAATTTTCTCCTTATAGACGCAACAGATAGAAGTAAAGATTAGTAGCGATCAAAAGAGCTTTTTTATCGCATTAAGCCTATAACCCCTTTCATTTTTCGCGAATACTCCCTTTAATAAACTAGATTTTAAGGAACAAATTCAAATATCATCAGATCATACAAAGATCCAGGCTTCAATGAAAAGTTGCATACATGTTCAAGACAAGGTTGACTTTAAAGTGTTACGAGGCTTTGGGATTCGATTTTACTGTTGGTAATTCAAATTTGAGCCGCCGGTATGCAGTTCAAATTAATTAAATTCAGTCCTTGGACATTTACATTTTAGAAGTATAAAGCACTTTTTTAGCTTTACGATTTTTTAGAAAGAAATTGGCAAAATTCTCATTTTTTACGTGAGAGCTCGCAACCTTTCGATCACGGTGATCTTGCATAGCATGTGTAGGTCGTCATCCCATATTGTAATCTTTTTGGATTTTTTAGAAAGTAATTGGCAAAATTCTCATTTTTTTACGATTAAAAAATGTGTAGGTCGTCATCCCATATTGTAATCTTTTTGCATGAACCCTGTAGTTCGTCATCAAATTAAATTTTCAGCCCGTAATGTTTCAGGTCGTCATTAAAATCTAGTTCTTTGTAGGTAACAATGTACAGGGTGTCCCAATAAAACATAGGAATTAAATGACGACTTCTATGTCATCTTTATTCCAAGCTGGATTATTTTGTAAATATTATTTTGTAGTATCACAGTTAAAACATTTAACACCGAAAACTTGAAGTCTCGGGATTTCCAAAATGTGGTCTACCATTTTTCTTCTTAAAAATTTACAGAGATATTATAAAATTTGTCCAGATTCCTGTTGATTAAAATCAACAAAACTATTTGAATGTGTAATATCTCCGTCAATTTTAAATATATGCAGAAGGTAGACCACATTCTGGAAAGCATATTAGATGCACTTACTGTCATTTATCAATTATCTGAGATAAAAAATGATATTCAAGTCGTCTTTTAATTAACATGTTTATTGGGGCACTCTGAATAAAATTATTAACAGTCCTTTTTATACTTTGGGTAAAATGCAGAATTTCTTCAATAATTATCTTCAATTTTTTTAACAACTAATTTCTTTTTATATTTAAATTTTTAACTTTCTTATTTTGGGATTCTATTTGATAATTTGTCGCGGAGGAGGAGAATTGGCAGGAAAATTAATTAGTTTAAAATGGTGTTTTAGGTATTAAAGAAGGATTTATCGAATTGTTCTCAGGAGTTGAAGAATAAATCTCAGGAGAAAAATATAAAATGTGAAAACACATTTTCAAAGTTTGCAAAGGAAATAATCATTTTTACACATTTATTGAAAATAGGATTTCTTCCAAAATTCTGTAAGCGGCTATATTTGTGTTTAAAGAGACTAAAATGTAATTTCAAGTACCCGCCATTTTAAAATGTACTCCATGTACTCCATGTACCCGACTTACAACAAAACACTTTAGCTTTGTCTACCTGTTCAAGAATGAATAAGATATTCCTGTTTTCTGTTTGAAATTTTTTGTTGATAAACAATTGAGAAAATTGAGAAAAGAATTTAACACTTTTCAAGGTAAAAAAATGACAATATGGTGAATGTCATTTGGAATTTAAACGGCAGTCCCTTAACGCCAAAATATTATATTTACAGGGCGGGTAAAAAAAGTGTGATTAGCGGCGCCTGGTGCAAAATTGTAGCTTTGCAACTCTCCTGTATGTTTTTTTTCTTTTTTCCAATGGCTCCAAAAATATCGAAAAATATTGAAAAATACAATATAGATACAATTTTGCACCAGGCGCCGCCGCTAATCACACTTTTTTACTCACCCAGTATATACGCATTTGGAACCCCCCCCCCCTTCTCTCCAATGCATGAGTTCATCAGGAATTATTGTAGAATCAAAGAAGAGGAACAAACATCCAAGAACTGTCATGGCGTCTGTCAAGAAAACAATTCCTTTGTTTAATCTTGTCACCTTCAAATGTCAGAATCTCTATCTTCCAGTCATATATTTACATAACCCCGACTTCTAAACTATTCAAAGAACAAATTTAGACATATTTTTTATTTCATATTCATATTTTGATCTTAAAATCCAAATAAATGGGGTAATTAATAATGGGTCCTTGAAATTAACCGGAGTTTCCAGTGATTTAATTATGGGTAATTTTTTTTAGCAAACTTGTGACATCCTTTTTTTACCAACAAAATTTTAAAGTGTAGCAAAGTAGAAGCAGCGTTTATAAATAAAAAAATGAAAAAATAAAATCTCGTTTAGTAATAAACGAATTTAAAAACATTTTTTTGTTGTTAAATGATTATATCTCTAAGGACGCTGTAAACAGCCATAACAAGTATAGAACTAAACATGGGGTCAAACCTCTTGAACTTGACCTTGACCTTTAATTCCTATAGGTACAGCTCTATCCCTCCTTTACACAATGTAAAATGTCATCCTAATGGAACATATCTCATCTCAAGGTCAAAATTTGGCATTGTGTAGTCATGTGTAAGGAACGCAAATGTTTAGAATTGACAATTTTGAAAATTGTAAAACTATTCAGATTTTTTCTTTAAAAGTTCAAAAGCCTCAAATTATTTTTGAACTAAGCTATAATTGACCAGCGCTTCATGGGTTTCATATTTAGTCAGGGGCATTTTCAAGAATTTGTCCAGGGGACGAGGCTGAACTATTTTTGACATTACGGAGGGGGGGGGGGGGAAATAATTCCCCACCCCTCATCTCTACTTTTTATACGCATTTAACACAAATTGTTAACAAAGAAAATTTTATTATTTGTCATCAATTTCTTTCTAATTGTTGGGTTTGTAACCATGATTATAGACATCAAAATTTCAAAATTATTATTGATTCAATTTCTATAGAATACATATTTTTTACTTTCAAGGTTTAACTAGCTAACATTTTAATATCTTTAATAAGTGGAGAATGGTTAGTTAGTACTTTATTTTGTTACTAGTGGTTAATTAGTAATTAACTAAAATTGTCCATTTCTTTGACGTCAATTTAGGTTTTTGATGTTTATGTCCATTCTTGGTTGTTAACCGCACTTTGCCCAACACTATTTGTTTCACAGCATTTGAAATACAAAGATATTACGAACAACACAAATATTGATGTTTTTTCGGAGACTTGCTGTAAAATATTGCAGGGTTGAGAGATGGTGTATAGTTGGTATGCAGAGTATTTAAATTATAATATTGCAGGGTTGGGAGGCAGTGGATAGTTGGTATGCAGAGTGTTTAAACTATAATATTGCAGGGTTGGGAGGCAGTGGATAGTTGGTATGCGGAGTATTTAAATTATAATATTGCAGGGTTGGGAGACAGTGGATAGTTGGTATGCGGAGTATTTAAATTATAATATTGCAGGGTTGGGAGGCAGTGGATAGTTGGTATGGGGAGTGTTTAAACTATAATATTGCAGGGTTGGGAGGCAGTGGATAGTTGGTATGCGGAGTGTTTAAATTATAATATTGCAGGGTTGGGAGGCAGTGGATAGTTGGTATGCAGAGTATTTAAATTATAATATTGCAGGGTTGGGAGGCAGCGGATAGTTGGTATTTGGAGTATTTGAACTATAATATTGCAGGGTTGGGAGGCAGTGGATAGTTGGTATGCAGAGCATTTAAATTATAATATTGCAGGGTTGGGAGGCAGTGGATAGTTGGTATGCGGAGTGTTTAAATTATAATTATAATATAGAACCAACCGATACAGAAACAGGTGGGAAATAATTAGAATTTCAAAAAAGCATTTTTTTGGATCACAGTGAGAACCAGAAAAATGTGGAATAGGGTGACGACATTAAAGCAAGATTTAAGTGTATTTGATGTTGCTACAACACAAAGAGTATAAATAAAGCAGCTAAAAAATCTCAGATTAAGTGAATAGGATTTTGCACATCTTCCCAATTGCTGTGTTTTATGTACATTTGACTAATTAAAATCAGAACTTGGGCTTAAAAGTCGTCTTTCTATTCTAAAGTTTTCTGGTTCTCACTGTATAAATGAGAACTTGCGGGGTTACCCACAAATAATGCGACTGTGAAGACGACTGAAAATATGACGATCCCAAGTTCAAATAAAGTTTGTTGCCTTGAATGTGATCTTTACTTGGCTTATTTAATGATTTAACAAACAAACAAGTAAACGGTTGCAGGAAATCATTAATATAAAGAAACACAGTATAAATTCTGTACAGTCGTCTTTGAAGTCTCTTCCTTGGTGGGAACCCTGTTTATTGAAACTGTCTTACCAGGCACATTGAAAAAAAATAAAAATGCAGAACAAGACGAATTTGAGTTGTGATTCCTTAAACTCTTTCTCTTTTCGAGGTGTTGAATAAGTTTTGCATAAAAATTTTAGAGGTACTTCTAGATTTCTCAGCCATGTCATTTTTTATTGTAAAGTTCACTACATTTTTAGCCAGGTTGGCGTCAAGCAGATTGTTGTTGTGATGTAAAAGTGTTCTCCTGAAGGTGGATTATCTTCGTTGTCACATGCATTATAGGAATATATCTAGAATATTAATCAGAGAAAGAGGATCGGTTACCAAAAAAAAAGTTTTTATTAGACGATACAAAAACCAAGCAGAACCCTAAAACATGATCCAGAACGCATTTTAAAACGATTTTATAAACTTTAATGGTGGTTTAATGGCGTTAAGAAGGGAAAAATGAATATTTGAAGGATTATGACAAGTCAGGGAGGAAATAGACCATCAATTGACCCCAAAAATAATCGAAAATATTGAAAATAGTTTAAACCATATTAGCAAGGGTTAAAGAAGACAGCTTGATGTATGCCTTTACATTGTAATACAAATTGTAAAGATTTAAAAATGACAAAGATCTGGGTTAAATTTGTCCCAAAGTCTCTGACATAGGACCCAAGGAATTACACTGATTATGGATCTTCAATGTAAATCAAAACCAGAAAATCCTCAAAAGTCCTTCATGCATTAAATACTCAATGCCTCATTTCTTTTGATCGCTCATACAAGGTATTAAACAGACCCTAATTTGAGATTATTCTGAAAATGTTCTTGCTGTGACGAACGAAGCTGATTCTTTCTGGAGAACGCTCTTTACATTATAACAAAGACATGATTGACATCAACTGGTCTTATAGTGAACTGTTTTATGGCTGAGGCATAATGCAGTATAACCTCTAAAACAATTATTGAACACACCTCTTACAATTAACAAATATTAGCCTTTCTACTGCCTAGATTCATAATCTAGCTTTGCCTGAATTGTTAAATTGTAATATTCATGCATTGTTGTAAGTTTCGCGAAATCTCTGCTTTAAACTGTTTATGCTGCCTAAAATATTTACGGTTATCCTGTGTTAACATATCTTAAAATATTTGTCTAAGGCTGATATATCTTACTTTGTCTAAAAATTCTTATGTATAGGCCAAAACCAAAAATTGATACTTTTAGGCCAAACTATCTCTATCTCAAAATGTCCTTCCGGTTTATTGGAGAAAACAAAATGTTAACCTTTTTTAAATATTTTCAGGTCACTTCACGCAGTTAGTTTGGTCGACAAGTCGGCGGCTGGGTGTAGGTTTGGCCCGTAGCTGCGCGGGTCGGCATATTGTTGTTATGAAATACGATCCGCCGGGCAACTACGTCGGACAGTACACCAACCATGTTTTCAAACCGGTTTTATAATCTTATTATGTAAACAATATTTAATTACAAGAAAAAATGCAAATTCTTTGAAATATATATATATTTTATCAATACAAGAAAAAATGCAAATTCTTTGAAATATATATATATTTTATCAATTAATTAATGTTTATGAGAGTTAAACTAATACAAGGTTCCCCGCTACGAATAAGAATGTAAAGACGACTTGGATATTATTCTTAATCATACCACAGTGAGAACCAGATCGTGAAGAAGGAAGACAACATTAACAATCGAGTGTATTTGATATTGTTACGCAGCAAAGAGTCGCATTAGTAAAAAAAAAAGTTAAATCACTTACTTAATGAAATGGGTCTGTTTACAATGCAAGTGCAAAATTCCTTTGTAACGTGCTAATTGGACTATTTACAGTCATAACTTGAGTACAAATGTCGTCCTCCAATTCTAGAGTTTTATAGTTCTAAATTTATAATTCAAGCTTCTGTTTTATTTGGATGTAGTTTATGAAGATGACAACTTTATTTATAAAATGTAGACAACAAAATATTATTTAACAAGAAGATAAAATTTGAAGTCATCTTTCCAGAATCATTCTTTGTGGATAACCCAGCAATTTCACCAAAAGATTTTTAAAAAAAGAAGAAAAAAAGGTAACTTAAACAAATACGAAATACTACAATTTTTTTTAAAATTTTGTCAAAAAATTGTGTATATTTTTTAAACAGTAACAGTAACATTAATATCACAATTAAGTTTTAAACACGAATTATAATTAAAATTAATTTTCAAAAACCAAATCTATCTTGGATCATGATTTACTCTGTAATCCTAATCCCTGATATTCCAGATTGAAGAACCACAAAGTTTATAAAATCTTCAGGGATATCCGAGGAGAAATCAACCTCCAAACATCTAGAATAATAAATAAATAATAAATAAAGTGAGAAATAACAAAAAAATGTTAGGGCCCAATCGCTTTGGTTGTTTCGACGTATATTCGATACAAATAAATGCACACTGACAGTGACACACAAACCAAATTTTTGTTCATTTGATAATTGTTTTAACACCTAACCTAATTACATAAAAAACAAGTATGGCTTACAAAAAATATAACAAGAAAGCGAAGAAATATGGCAAACAATTTACACATAAAATCTTCTTTAAAAAATAAATGACGAAGTAAAAATCAAACTTTTCCCAAAGGCATTTGTCAATGGGTGACCCTCCAAGGGAATTGTTCAAAAATGATCCTTTATTACCCAATTGACTAGTTCGAAATACATATTTCATTTGGCGCATTTTCCGATAAGTCACTTAAAGCGGAAAAACGATAGATTTCATTATAGCTATGATTCGCTAGAAGACCGAGCACTGTGGCTAGAAAATTGTTTATTTTTATGCATGCCTTCAAAGTCATCCTAGGTCCAACTAATACAAAAACCACAATCATAAGCGACCAATAAAAGATCACAAAACGATCAAAATAAATCAAAAAACCGGATCTGAAACCGAAGTTAAAGATAACCTTAGTATAGTGTCTGATGTCAAACAAGGAAGTGCTGAACAACTCACAACAAAATCAGTTTTCGTCAAAAATAATCTATAAATAAAACAAATTTTAAGATATTAAATGGATGTTAAGTTTATATGTTCGCGCTATAAACAAATACTTAAAGAAAAAATAATATTTAGAATAAAAAATTTATATTTCAAAGATATTAATACAGCCATAACCTTTAAAGCAAAAGAAAGGTTGTGTTCGAATTAGAATATTTTCGTTTCTTTTTCTGGTGATTTTTTATACACCGAAACAGAAAACATTAACATAAAAAAATGATTGTTTTGAAAGTTTTTTCTGACTAGAATACAATGGGTTTCCCCAAAAAAAGTTCATTTAAAAAAAAAGGCTAATCAACATATGTAATGCCTTTAAGTGCAGTTAAACCCAGAGCTTCGGAAACATCAAAAGAATTTGTAAAATGTCGTTTTCTAACTCTATTTATAATGAAATGCTGCACATATTTAGTTTTTAATTGAATGAATAATAATATGGAGCTCTTTAAAACTGTTTCATGGATATTTATTTTGATTATTACTGAGATTTAGGTATGGTATTATAAAATCGATAGAAAAATTGTCAAGACAACATTTTATAAATTCGTTCGATGTTTCTGAAGTTTTAGACCCAAATATTATCATTATTATGATGACCTGGTGTTAATGTAGTTCGTCCAAAGATAACCTAGTGCTGGAACAACTGTTCTGGAAGTTTGAACTTGGTAAACAATAAAAATTTTTGTAGGTTGATTTTGATCCAAAGGCGCGCTCTTTTAAAGTTTCTGGCTTTATAATAAAATTTTGAAGAGCTGTTACATGTTTAATTATCAATCAAGAAATTTATTTAGATATATATAAATAAAGAAAAACGGGGTGTTACTTAAAACAGTAATTTATGTCAGAACCTCAATTTTTATGAACCACAACTTCAAAACAACCAAACCAAAAAACCTTGAGGTTTATTATTAAATACTATCTTTAAAGTTTTTGTTTATTATTATAATTCATCAGGATTTTTAGGTTGCCAGCTCTCAAACAAAAATAAATAACAATTATGTCAATTAGTTATTACAATAAACATAAGTGTTTCATAGCAATAAAATGAACATTTCTAGGGCTACAACAAGTTTAAGTGAGCCGATGAGATCAAATCAAAGGCCAAACCGTTGCAACGCTTAAAAGTTGACCCGGTCTTAAAAACATTTGCAACTTTGCATAGCAGTTCTTGTATAAAAGGTTCTGACACTAATCAGAAAAGCTAAAACGTATCAGCGGATTTCAAAGACTTCAAAGGTAAAAAAAGTTACAAACATAAAATAAGTTTTAGTTTTTAACATTAGATCGATCATGTTTAATGTCTGAAAAATATAAATCGGTTTGACTAATATTAAGTTCAATTGGTTGCTTTTCATCAATCGACTATTTAATAAATTCTCGCTTCTAAAAATGAAAACCCTAAATGAAATTCTAATTTAAAAAGAAAGTTCCAACTGTCCTGCCGCCTGTGAATCCATGATAGTCTATAGCAGCAGATACTTGGTTTACTACTAGAATACTGATATTCAGGTTCAAGCTAATATCCTTCAGTCTTCCACCTATCCTAGAGATAATCATAGTTGGAATTTAACACATATATTACTTGGTAAAAGGTTGCTTAAACCCTGACTCCCTGAGTCAAGAAAAAAAAGGTACAAGCTAACCTCCTTTAGTCTTCCACCTTCCTGGAATTAATCATAGTTGGAATTAAAAAACTGAAGCGATTAAAAGAATAATAAGTGTACAGAGCAAAGTCCGAAGTAAAAAATATTTAGACAAAAAAAGATTTTCTCTTGGAAAACGCGCATGGAAATCAAATTTTCAAATTTATTCAGTGCTCTGCGAGAATGTATTGTTTATTATACGAGGATGAAAATAATGAGTCAGAGAAGTTTAAACTTGGTTGTCTGTTTACAGATATACGCTAAGAACTGGAATCTTTTATGTCTTGTAAGACATGAAGATGAAAGGTTACCTGTGTATTAGCTTACTTCTTTGGTACATATCTTTGATATCACTATCTCCTCTTTACAGAAACAATCATAATAATATAGTTCACTTTACTAAACTGTAAAAATATAATGTATTTTATATAAAAAAATTAATTGAGACGAATAAAAGAATAGACAATAAATAAATGACATGGTTGAATAAAATAAATAAACCCAGAATAGTTCAAATCAACCATTAAAAAGAAAAATTGCGGACAAAAGGATTGCCTCGTTCGCTTCATTAGCCAAGCAACAAGCCAACCAACTAAACATTCAACCAACCAACAAATCTGTCAACCAACCAACCAACCAAACAGCCAATAAAATCAAACAACCAAGCAAGCCATCGAATAAACACAACCAACTACCCAAAAACCAATGGACCAACTATGTAACAAGTAATCAATCAATTAACTAAACAGGCATTAAGAAACCAACTTAGAGACTAACCAAACAAAAACCAACCAACTATGTAACTAAGGAACCAACCAAGCAACCAACTGCTTAATTTATTAGTTAAATGGTTTTGATTATTTGATTTTCCTTAAAATAGCAGCAATACTGTCAATTATCACGAGAACTACGCCCTTCTCCTTAAAAACATTTATTTGAATTATGAATTGGGGTTCTAAGTTCAGTTTACTACTCTATTTATGTAATGGATTCAAACTCTGTGTCCATTATCCTCTCTGAGTATAGTTCACTACTCTACCTTTATAATAGATTCCAGCTCTGTGTCCAGTATTCTCTCTAGTTGTGTATAGTTTACTACTTTCTGAACTAAAACTCTGTCCAGACNTTGAGTATAGTGTACTATTCTACCTTTATAATAGATTCCAGCTCTGTGTCCAGTATTCTCTCTAGTTGTGTATAGTTTACTACTTTCTGAACTAAAACTCTGTCCAGACTAGATGAGAGTATGGAGGAAGAGGCAGAGGCTGTAGATGAGGTTGAAGTGGAGGCTCTTGAGGATGATTGCCCAAAGGAAGAGTTCCTATTTTGAATGATTTAATATTTTTTTTTCAGAAGAAATCCTTAATTTCTAAACATTTAAAAATATCATAACAATCAAACTTACATTTTTTCCCTTTGCTGAATCATTTGCTCCAGTCTGTTTATTGGGAACCCGCCACCTTCTGTTTGTAAATAAACAACCGGTTTTCCCTGCAGTACAATAGATGCAGTACTGTGTAGACAAACTTGTGTTTTTCCTGGAGGTTCAAAACATAAAATGTGGGGGAAAAATTTGATACGATGTTAACTATAGTGTCAATACTGCTTTTAAAGNAGAATTAATAACTGTCAAAATCATTTTGGCATAACTTGAGATTCAGAAACGAAGTCTTAGCTATCTGGAAAAAAGAGAGAAAAAAGAAAATTTTCAATGAAAAAATATTTTTTTAAAGATGAAATCAAAATTTGGGTTAACATTTTCATTGCAGAACTAGAATCCAGATCTGCAATTGCAACGGTAACAAATGAACTGTTGAATTTGTTTTTGTTCCTTCCTGAGCTGCTAGCTCCGCATATTTCAGTAATTGCTCCTCTACGCAGGCCTCCACCTAGCAGCTTTACAACAAAATATTTCAAATCAAAACTTATAAATGAGTTTAGTAAATAAAATTAAATAAATTTGAACTGGACTAATTCTATATCAAGTAATGGTCACATGTTAAGTTACAGAACTAGTACAATGCAATTACGTCACAGTTACAAAATTTGTATAATCATCACATCTGAATTACGTTCCATTGCTACAGTTTTTGCATATTGTACATCTAAAGTTCAGTAACTTATACAATTACTAGGTTCTGACAAAATTGTGCACCATGCTAACCTGATTCAATAGGGGACAGGAAACATCAAGAAACTCGTGTTTCTCCTTTAGCAAATCACGAGCTGAGGTAAACATCTCCGATATATCCAGAGTTCTCGTGTTTTGTAAATATTTGTTCTTCCTTTCATCACGTTTTACCCTCATGTTCTCTATGTCTACTTTGTACTTTTGCTTGAACCCCCTAAAGCGTCCTGACATCTGATCTGCGTTAATACTCTCCACAGTTTTCAAGCTTACTACAATATACAATATTATAATAAGCTTACTACAATATACAATATTATAATA